AGCTTTGTCTAGATGTGCCCAGTGGATCTTTAACACCTAGACAATCTCAAAATCAATGATACTGCAAGCAAAGAGCTGCAGAAAGCGGGGAGTGGGGGCATGGAAATGAGCTGCAGACATAATTAGTGATGGAAGTGCAGATCTCTAGCTGCCCCTGGGTATCAGATGTGCTGCTTATAGCAAGGCCAATCTAGTCTGAACAATTCCACTCTCTCCAGAGTGAATGGCAACAATAGAGTGGTGAGGAGTCTGGCCCCTGTTGGAGGGAGAGACAAATGAACTTGTTTGGGAGGCAAAAGGCCAGGCTGTGAATTGTGCCACTGGCATCTGCTGGTATTTTCACTTCCCTAGAACTTGGGTTCTTTATTTTTCAGCAGGATGGAAAGTACCAACCACCCGTACATGTCTCACTGAGAATTAACGAGTGTGAATGTCCCTAAGCTTTCCTGGTTGTGGTAGATATCAGTCAAGAATATTTATTCATATCCAGATCTCCAAATGTACTAGATATGTTACACTGGCAGTGAGTGAATGAAAGGAGCCCATGCCTTTTCTCATTAGTACAGTGGAAGGATTGTAGCATCTACCTTCGAGAGTGGTTGAGGAGTAATTGGCCAAAGCATACAGGATGCTATGAACATGGGTAATGAGTGTCAGTCCTACTGATATGTAGCTTTGTGAGAGTTAAACAACAGCATAAGATCACTGTGTCATTGAAACCACAATGTGTGCCTCTTCTCTTATCTGAACATTCAGAAAGATGACTCTGTGGCCTTTGGCCTTGTGTGTCAACTGCTGTATGAGAGTGGTGGTGGGGACCAGGTGGAGGGATGTGGTAGCACTTAGCGCTGTTATGCATGGATGCCAGATGTCTCCTGATAGCACTTTTCTTGAACTCTCAGGGAACATTACCCAGGGTCCAACTGGGTAGTTCTGCCTCCTTTGTACATCTGGCTCTGCTAAGAGAGTAAAGTTATTTGGGATCCTCAGAGGAGGCCATACCTCTCAGGTGGCTCCCCTAAATCTTGAGTGTTATACTGACAGAGTCCTCAGAGATCATCTTTCTAGTCTTGTCCAAATAAACAATCCAACCTAATTTCCTTATTTTGAGGCAGGGACTCATATAGCCCAGGCTGATCTCCTTATGTAGCCAAGGATGACCTTGAACTGATCTTCTGGCTACTGATTTCTGAGTGCTACGGTTACAGGCAAATACCAGCATTCCTGCCTTTAGGTTTTGTGTGGTTTCTCGAGCTGTCAATGGAACTCTAGGCTTCTTGCATGCTCGGCACACAATCTACCAACTGAACTACCTCTATACCCTCAATCAAAGCTTATTTATAACTAAGTGTATCTCAGGTCCTATTGTGCCTAGATAGGGCACAGTCACGGCATAATCAACTGGAGATATAGAACTCCAAAGCAGCTCTTCTTCAAATGAAAGGTCCTGCTCCAACCTGTATGACACCAGTAGTCAGGGTCTTCATCATCTTCAGGGTGTTCATAAGCCAAAAGAGTCATTTGGGGGACTGAAGACCTTCTAATGGCCAAAGGGGAGTTATAAGTAGGGAAACTTGTATTTTAGATTGAGAATTTTATTAAAATATAACCCTATTTTTAAGCCACCATACAAATATCCTTTGTATTGATCTCAGTGTGATGAACTGACTGAATAAATATGCCAATTTCTTCCAGTGAGCCAAACAGTATTTTTAACCTACTTTAAAATATGTGTTGTTTCCTATGGTTTTTTAAACTCTGGAGTTGATTATGAAAGCAATTTCAGTTTTTTTAAAAAAATTCTTCTTTCCAGAGAACATACATATATATTTTAAACTATCAAATGTAAAACTTAATGAAATGGACCATTATTTCTTAAAGTTGTGAAGTAAAGTGGAAAAGAAAGTGAGTTATTGTGATGGTTAATCTTGATTGTCAACTTGGTTAGATCTAAGATACCCAGGAGACTGACTTATGGGCATGTCTTTGAGGACTTTCCCAAAGAGATTTAACTGAGGGGTAAAGATCAACCCTGGGTTTGGACAGTAAGTACCAGGCCTAAAATGATGTAATAAGAGTTTGATGGACCACTTTGGTGCCAGATCTACAGGTAAAGAGAGCAAGCAAGTACAGCGGGAAAGCATGGAGTGTCCAGTGTGATGAGGAAAGAATATAAGCAAGTTCAGTTGACAACAAAGTAGGGGTAGGAAAAGCAGCTTTGGTTGTTGAAGAAATCAATACTCTTGAAGAGAAACTGGCACTATGAGCTAGGGCAACTAGAAAGGTACCCTGAGGGCAAGACCTCGCCCACAGAAAGCCCCAACTTGTGAAACGTAAATTCATTTGAAAAAAAGTGGTGATCTATACTAAGAATGCCACCACCAGAACAAAGGACAGGTATTCCTTGTCCCAAATGGCCACATAGAAAAGTGTTTCCTTAGAGTCTTCCTCAAAGGTCCACAAAAGTTGCTGTGACTGTTGTCTAAGGGGTTATGCTACATCTTGATCTGGCAGCAGAACTTGGAGACAATGTCTATGTGGCACTAATTTTTTCAGGCATGAAAGATACAGGAATTAAGGAGTCACAAAAGTGAGCACCAAGGTTCTAGAAGCCACTGAAGCCACTAATTTCTAGCCAATCACTGTGTAGCTGGGTCAGGTCAGGAAGCATGAAGAGGCTGTTGCATGAAGCTGAGAAGGCAAAGCCCATGCTGCAATAGAGACTCCAGGATACCGAAGGTGACAGGCATGGAGAGTGTCTTCTAAGAAAAACCACAGGCGTGAAGTAGAACTAGCCCAAGAGAAAGTCTATGTGTCCTGTAGACAGCAGAACAAGGACTCTGCAGCTACCCAAGGCACTTGCAGCCCAGATAATGTCACCAAGAGCCCCAGATGCCACACATGGGACCACAGAATTTGGTGTTGCCCAACTGTGATCCAGTCTGGCTTCGGCCTAGTCTTTCCTTGCTTTATTCTCATTCTTCCTTTTTGGAATGAGAATTTCTTTTCATGCCACTGTATATGAGAAGTCAGTGAGTTGTAGGCTTGATTTTTTTCTTTTTTAAATAGGGGCTCATGGCTAAGAGATGTCCCAAGTCTCCTAAGAGACTCCATTTATACTATTGAAGTTTTGGCACTGTTGAAATATTGAAGATTTATAGAGATGAACTAAATGTATTTTGTATTACAAAATGAACATGAGATTTTTAGGGATCTGGAGTGAAATGCTATGATTAAAAACAATATGCTTGGGGGTCAAGTTGACAAAATGAAGACTTGTGATTGTTAATCTTGATTGTCAATGTGGCAGAACTTCGACTGACCTGGGAGACAAACTTCTAGCCATGTGTGAGGGGGTATTTATTTAGGTGGGAAGACCCACCAGGAATGTGGTTCCATCATCCCACAGGCTGGAGTCTCAAATCAATGAAGAGCAGAAAGTGAATGGACTATCTCTCTCTGCTTCTTGACTGAGGATGCAATGTGACTCAAATCAATGAAGAGCAGAAAGTGAATGGACTATCTCTCTCTGCTTCTTGACTGAGGATGCAATGTGACTAGCCACCTTATGCTCATGCTGCTATGGCTGCCCCACTGTGGTGGACTGTACCCTCAAACTGTGAGCCAAAACAAACAAACAGACAAATAAGCAAGCAAACAAACAACCCTTCCTGTGTTAAATTGCATTTGCCTGGTGTTTTGTCACATGAATAGAAGGGATACTAATGCATATATACACTGCATTGGAGACTACTACAACAAAGGAAAGCTTGAGTAAGAGTAAGTGTTCTTTAAATATGTAACATATATTCCTCTACGTATTTTGCCCCCACCACTACTAGCTAGTCTTCTTAGCTTTTTAGCATATAACATTGTCTACTTAATCAGGATCTTTAAGAAGTTTTGGGATTTTCAGAAACGTAGGAAAGGACTGGGTAGATAACTCGCATGACAGAAGTGCTCAGTGCGTAAGCCTGGTGACCTGAGTTCACATCCCCAGAACATGTGTAAGAGCCAGATACAGTGGCACAGGCACCTGTAATCCCAATGTGTCCCTATGACATGTTGGGGAGCAGAGGCAGGAGAATCATTGGAAGTGTGTAGGCCAGCTATCTTGACATACAGTAACGACCAAGTGGGATCCTGCCTCAAAGAACAAGCAAAGTTTGTCCTTTGCCTTCTGTACATATGCCACATCATGAGTGTTGGCCCGTGCACACATGAGAGAGAGAAAGAGAGAGAGAGAGAGAGAGAGAGAGAGAGAGAACAAAACTGAAAGCCAAAGCAATTCATGTGCTGTCCAGTAGGATGCACAGGCGAACAAGCACTTCACAGATGGACTTATTCAAGGGCTCAGCTATTCCAAACAGTTCACCCTGAGTTCCCCCGCTTTCCCTTTATCCTATTGGAAAAAGCTCCCAAAGTAAAAATCCTTTAGGGCACAAAGCCATTTGAAATATCAATTAGAAGATATTTAAAAGCTTCCCCCACCCCTAGAAAAGCCCTAAAGAATTAGTGATCGATAGTTGCTGTCTGTGAATCATGGGATTTCCTGATTTTGGAAAGAAATGCCAAGTTACCATTTTGGAAAAAGAAACAAGGCCAGAGATTGTGATTAATTTGCTGGAGTAAGAGTCTTAAAAGTTCAGGCACAGGACAAGGAATGGGGCTGTCTGGACACAAAGGAGGCACATTGTATCTAAAAACAGGTAAAGAATTACAGAATCAAGTACACCAGATGACCTTGGCCATCTGGTCTAATGACCTACCTCAGCAGATTTCTTGGTTGGATCTCTTTTAAAGACATGAATCCATACCTCATAGTGCAACCCACCCACCAGGAATGGCTGTCAAGAAGTCCTTCCCAAGCTGGGACTGAAGCCTGATGGGCATCAGAAGAAGGACACGAGGAATTCCCTTCCATCTGTGCACTTCTGTCTGAGATGAACTTCTTTGGGGCTCCCTGTGGCCTCTGCTCCTGCTTAGATAGTGGGGTTTACCTGAAGTTGTAACCAGGAGAAACACTGCTTTTCTCAGAAACTCCATCCAGTCGAGTGAAGGAATATTTGGGGATGCACTGGTCCCAGGCCTTGTCCAGATCGCATACCCAGCCGATCTTAATACCCAGAACTCCACCCTGGAAAAAAAGGGAGGGCCAAATATGAGGTCTCCCCTGTGCCGAGTCAGGGCTGAGGGTTTCTGATGAGTGATTTCTTTCCCTTCTCTGGATGGGAGGTGGCAGCAGGGAGGAAAGAGAAGAACTTGGAGCCTCAAAGTCCCCACGATACAACACAGGATTCAGAACACTACTGCAGCTCACTTGCCTGTGGTATGGTGCTTTCAGAGACCAAAGGCCTCTTCTGGGGTGAAATGGGATGACGGGAATGGGCAGCGGAGGCTAGAGGAGGCAGAGGCAAGATCACTGGGGATGGATGGATAGGATTCAGGATCCAGGGAGCTGCAGGTCTGGGGTGCTTCCACCAGGTGGCACTGTCTTGCTGCAGTTCCTGCCCAGCATCCCAGTGGCATTCCCTGGAGTCTAAGGCAGGGGTGAGCTTTCCAAGTAGGTAGGTAAGTAGGTAGGTAGGTAGGTAGGTAGGTAGGTAGGTATGTAGGGGGTCATTGGGAAGGGATAGCTTCTCACCGTGCGGGCCAGCTTGGCAAAATCCTGCCCAGCAAACTTAACCACGTCCCCTACCCTCAAGATGGGGCAAAATGGGGCCTTTTCAGGGTGGAAGCGGCACTTCTTTATGTCCTTGTCGGTGAGGTTAGGCAGGAGGTTTCCCCTGGGGTGGAAAGAGCAGGGTAGTTAGGTCCAGAATTCGAGTAAAGATGGTAACGTCTAAATGCTCTCATCTCCTGGATGCCCTCCACATCCAAGTGGAGGCATCTCCCTGCACTATCTCTCAGTCACTTCCCCGCTGTCACTCAGTCTATCTCCCCGCTGTCCCCGCATGGTTTTGTAACTACCATCATGCTCCATCACATAGTAGGGCTATGAATGTCTGTGTAATGTGTCCAAACTACCATGCTGGGCCTCCTGGCGACTAGAGTCTCTCCTAACTATTTGGTGCATCTCTGCAGTGCCTGACAGGATACTTGGCACATGGCTACCAAGCAGTTGTTGAATGCATGAGTCGAGGTGGTGGGAGCAAACTTCAAAAACAAAACAAAAACCCTCCACTTGAGGGTTTGAGGTGGGAAGAAATACAAGTGACAAACACCTCAGACTCCAAGTGCAGGAGGCCTCGGTGCCCACAGCCAGCTTAAGTTATCTTTCCCCTGCTCCAAGCAGAACTCACGTTTGGCCTCAGAGCTCTAAGGCAGGAAAACTAGCAGAGAAATTGGCTATCTGACATCTGGGGTCAAGGTCTATTGAGGGATAGGAGCTCCATGGAGATGGGCAGATGGAGAGAATGCGAGTGACCCCTATGGCGGGGTGAATCAGGGAAGAACCAAAAACTCACTTCTCAAAGTTGAAGAGAGGGAAACGGATGCTGTTCTTAATGAAAATGGTGAAGTTCTCAGCTTCCATCATGATAGGCCTGTTGGGGGAAAATGAGGCTTCAGCCCTCCAGAAGAGGGAAGACAGGGGGCTTTTCTCAGGAATCTTTCTTTATAGGTGCCCCTTGAAAGGAGACATATTATAGATAGATCATAGGCCTGTGGCAGAGAGGGTGAGAGGTAGAGGCAGGGCAGGGGAGATGGCACCCTGAGACCACATTCCTACCCCAAGAAAGAATATTAGTTGGGGACCCATATAACTCTCCATTAGCTTCGGGATGCTCAGAGCCTTACATCTCCACGGTGTCCACCTCGGTGGGGCACCAGCCCTGGATCTCACAGGTCCGGAGGACAGAGCTGTAGTTCACGCAACGGCCAGTGAGGATCCCTGGAGGGTGGAGCTGCATGAACAGGTGGCATCCTGCCCCTTGTCACTCCCATGCCCCTCCTCATCAGAGACCCTGGCAGATAAGCAAGGCAAGCTAACCTGCTGTGTGCATCCTCAACAGCCCAGAACCCTTCTTCTTTGCCTCTGAGCCTGAGCTATCCCTTCTGCCTGGAATGCTTTTCATGACGCTCCCTCTATCTAGCTGGCTTCAGACCATGTCTAGGAGGACTTTGAAGCCACTTCTCTGAAACAACCTTGCTCCCTTCCCTGCAGCTCCCACAGTCTTTTGTGTTTCCTTAATACCACTTGCTACTCTACCCTATCACTGCAATACTTAGACTAAACTCCTGGGGCAAGATCCCCCACACACACCTCCACAGCCCCAGCTGGGTCTGGGCACCCAGCAATCTTTTGTGACACTGGCAGAAGTCCATAGAGTAGGCTAGACCTCTTTCCTGAAATGGACTATCCTCATGGCTAATTCCCTGCCCTTTAGAGTCCCATGAAGGCTTGGGTTTGGGAAAGGAGAGAGGAAAGGGCTGCACTCACCCCCACCCGGGAAGCGCTCAGGCCCACACTGGCTGTCAGACACACAGCGGTACTTCTCCTCATTCTGTGGGGGGACAGGGTCACAGGTGTATGAAGGCCCCTCCCTTGGCCCTGATCAGCCTGTTAATTCCCGTTGCCCCCCACAAGTTCCCATAGCTTGCGCCCCTAGTGGGTGACAGGTGCAGTCACAGCTCCCGAGGCTAGACTATGGGGCTCCGTTTACACCAGTTGTCCTACTGCCAGTACTCTTCCTTGACTTTTTCCACTCACCTCTGGACAGAATCCTTGCATTTGGTTTTCAGTAACGATCATTTTGGTGATGATGACAAAGACAGAGGTGCCCTGGAGAGGAGAAGGAAGAGGAAAAAGCCCAGTCCCAATCTGTGGGGCAGGAAGCCGTTTCCACTGTATAGAACAGGAAACCCTAGGTGGAATGATTTGGCCAAGGTGGCACGGCTAACAAGGGGCATCCAAAGGAACTTGGCAGCAGGCATCCAATCTGACTCTAACCACCTGGTGGCCCCTTTTGCTTTAAGCACGGGCATGACAGTCTGGGGGACGGGTGGGGGAATCCAGCTTCTGTATATCCAGTGCTGCATTTTGGAGGGCAGGTTCTTGTTTCTCCAATTGTACTGCTGGTTCGAGACACTTGCCCTTTATCCCTATTTTCCCCAGACATGGGCCTGCACAGGTCCCTGGGGTAGGGCACCATACCTGGGGTGGGGTCACATAATCTGACACGTCCATGACTCTGTTGGCATAGCGTCCGAAGCCTTTCACCTTTGTTACTACTGAGGACTCAATGGCGGTGTCCCGCACTTGGTAGGCCTTCTCGTGCAAGAAAACCCACCTGCAACAGAAGAGTAGGGACACAGAGAAAGAGTACACAGGGTCATGAGAGAGGGGTTGGGAAAACTCTCCTTCCTGCCGACATTAGAGTCATATGGCTGTGCTTGGCAGGGAGATGTGTTGGGATGAGTTCTTGGTTAGTTCAGTGAGTCTTCAAAAGCACCTCCAAGGCAGACCCTTGGGCTTCTTCTTCTAGTTGTTTCCCTATGAAAACTCTTAATATCCCAGCATGTGCCATGTGGGAAAGTTGATAGTTGGCTTTTTTTCTTTTTGAAACAGAGTCTCACTGTGTAGCCCCGGCTAGCCTAAAGCACATTTTGTAGACTAGGCTGGCTTCGAACTCACACAGATCTACCTGTTTGTGCCTCCCAGGTGCTATGATTAGAGGCATGTGGCACCATGCAGGCATCAGAAGTTGATATTGAGATAGACACTCCAACTCTATTCACTGTCCGTCCAACTTATTTTTGAAACATGGTCTCACTGAACCTGGTACTCAGTGGTTGGTTAGAAGGCTGGCCAGTGAGCCCTCTATCTATCATCTACACCTTCTTAGAACTAGGTTACAGGTATATTTTGCCATGTCAGGAATTGGCACTGGAGATGCCAGAATGCTAGGAAAGTGCTCTGTCAATATTGGGCTACAGTCTCCTCCTACTTGTGATTTACACACACAAAAAACCAGCAGATTAAAAAAAAAAAAAAAGGGAGCCGGGCAGTGGTGGCCCACGACTTTAATCCCGGTGGGCAGGTAGATCTCTGAGATCGAGGCCAGCCTGATCTACAGAGTTCCAAGGCTACACAAAGAAACTCTGTCTCAAAAAGAAAAAGAAAATCTAGTTATTTTTTTCCTAAGAAGGAATTTCTACTCCCCTGTGGCCATATATATGTCTAAAAGTAATTTTTGCTGATAACTAACGAGGTCCTCTCTCTAGCAGACACCAAGGAGAGAGAAGACACAAAAAGCCTCAGGCCTTATCCTAAGCTTTATTCATGCTTGTGCTCCGTGTCAGAGACACAGTGGCCATTCAAGAAAGGAGCTGATGAAAGGTCGTGGGAACAGGGTAGTTGGCAGTCTTCACTGGACCAAGGGTCAACTGAGAAATTAAGAGGGCGAGGGTGTGGGCAGTCTGTGCTATGCCAGGGAGGCGGGTACTGTTGGGAAGGCGGGACAGTAATCTTATTCCTTGCATTATGCTTCCACCTAGTGCCCATTACCTATCTCCTGTATTTTTTTTAAATAATTTATTTACTTACTCATTTTACATCTCAATCTTAGGGTAGCCCTCCCCTCTCTACCCAGTCCCCTTTCAAATAGCTCATCTCCCTTCTCCTCTGAGACAGGGGAGCCCCCCACCCCCAGGTACCAACCCACCCTGGCACATCAAGCTACTGCATGACTATGCACATCCTCTCCCACTGAGGACAGACAAAGGCGGTCCAGTTAGGGGAATGGGATCCACAGGCAGGCAACAGAGTCAGGGACAGCCTCCACTCCATTTGTTGGGGAATCTGCTTGAAGACCAAGCTGCACATCTGCTACATATGTGCGGGGAGGGGTAGGTCCAGCCCACATATGCTCTATGGTTGGTGGTTCAGTCTCTGGGAGCCCCCAAGAGTTCAAGAGTCTGTTGGTCTTCTTGTGGAGTCCCTAGCCCCCTTCAGACCCCCCAATCCTTCCCTCAAGTCTTCCACAAGACTCCCTGAACTCTGTCTAATGTTTGGGTGTGGGTCTCTCCATGGGCTGCTGAGTGAAGCTTCTTAGAGCACAGTTATGCTAGGCTCCTGTCTGCAAGCATAACAGAGTATCATTGATAATGTTCTTGCTCACGGGATGGGTCTCAAGTTGGGTCAGCCATTGGTTGGCCACTCTCTCAGTCTGCTCCATCTTTGTCTCTATTCCATGTTTGTCCCTGTACTTCTTATAGCAGGACAAATTTTGGGTCAAAGATTTTGTGGGTGGGCTGATGTCCTTACCCCTTTACTAGGAGTCCTGCCTGGCTACAAAAGGAGACCACTTCAGGCTCCATACCCCCCACTGCTAGGAGTCTCAGCTAAAGTCACCCTCATAGATTCCCTTGAGCCATCATGGGACCAAGTGGATAAGGCAAGACTCCCTCTCTTCCATTCCCTCATGCTTCTTCAGATCCTCCCAGACTCTGGGGACTCTGCACATCTGTGAAGGACTTCCTCTTTGTGTAGCCATCATAGCCCTCAGAGTTCAAGATACTCAGTCTCTATAACTGTTCCAGCTTGACATATGGAGGCATTTGGTCCTGGTGACTCACTGGAAGACAAATACAGTTACTGTCTTTATTCTACAGGTGAGAAAAATTTATCAAATAGGTTTGGGTAAAAATGAACATTCTATATAACAAACTAGTAATATGATAAATTTTTTACCTTTACCATTATTACAATCATCATCATTATTAATACTATGGCTATTTATTGCAATGTTGACTATTGGAACCTAGGGCCTCACCATTGCTAGGGAAGCCCTCTATCACTGAGCTTCTCCTGATTAGAGAAACTAGTCCTTCTTGATTAGAGAAACCAGTTTGGGGGAGAGAATTTCTGACAATTGGCAGAATTGAACAGCATAGTTTGGAATGGCTGGGTTAGCATTTGCTGCCTCTACCAAAGGATGGAAAACCACATCAGGAGAAGATGACAGAGGGGATCTGAAGCAGTTTAACTTACAAGATCCCTTGCTGTGGGGATCCCTGACAGGGCAGCTGCAGAGGCAATACCTGGGCTGGCATGAGGCATTTGAAAGGAGGCAGAAAGGGTGTCCAGCCATCAACTGCTGTTTCAGAAGGTGTTACAAGTGGTGGGTACTACATAGCTGCAAAGACTGGGAAGCTTGCTATTCCATGTTGTGTGTATGCTAAGAGGAGACATTTTTCTCAGGTGGAGGTTAAACTGTATGGCCTTTGATGTCCTTATACTATCAGAAGATTCGGAAGGAGTCAGCTCTAAGGACACTGATGGAAGTAGAGCCACTTGTAGAAAAGACAGACTTACTGCAAGCACAGACTGATCTTTGCACATGCCTCTTTGTTCAGTGAGTGGTTCAGTACCATCCTCATAACAGGGCTTCTCTTGCTGAAACTCTTGATTCCTTTACATTTAAAGATGTAGAGAAATTTTAATTCAGCAATATGGCTTATCTGGCAAGGGATCACATTCAAAGATATGATCTGGCTGAAATCCAGACATGCGTGGATTGCAGTATGATCTGGCTGGAATCCAGATACACCCTTAGCACACACCTTTAATGAAGGTAAGGTTAGTTTGTAAAAGGAAGCAGCCATGTTTGAAAGTAATGTCTAATTGAGGGGCAACATGACAAATCAGAGAAAGATATGACAGAATGAATTAGAAATAGGATACGCTCACAGGAGAACAGCAGAGCAAGAGAGGCTATTTAAGAGCAGTGCAGGGAGACAAAAAAAGGTGGTGTGTGGCAGTTTTACTGGGACAGTTTTACAGAGACAGGCTACAGAGGGAACAAGCTAGACACAGTTGAAGACAGAATGAGCCAGAAGATTAGAACATACTGCCAAAGTTAGTATGAGGCCAGGCAGAGCAATTCAGTTAGAAGCCCAAAGAAACTGGATTAAGTCAGTCAGTTTAGAAGATTAGATTGTAAGGAAGCTGGATTTCTAGGCCCTGGTTTAGTTAGAACAGAGAAGGAGATGCTCTGGGCTTAGCTCAAGCTGTGTATTCACACAGCTTGGGTATGGCTCCCGTCTTACCTCTTCATCTGAGGAAATAAAAGCGACATCCTCAGAAACTGCCTACTTTTTAATTAATTAATTTGTGTGTGTGTGTGTGTAGATTTGTATGTGGAGGTCAGAGGACAGCTTGTGGGAGCCAGTTCTCTACTTCTATTCTGAGAGTCTTGGTGACTGAACTTAGGTTCAAGTCAGGCATGGTGGAAGGTAGCTTTACAAATAGGCTCTCTTACTGCCCTAACTATCCCTGCACCCTTGGCCCATGCAACCTGTGTTTGTCATCTATCTATCTATCTATCTATCTATCTATCTATCTATCTATCATCATCTTCCTACCTACCCATCTACCTATCTATTTATCTATCTGAGACAGGGTCTCTCACTTTTAACTAGAACTCAGCATCTAAGCTAGAATGACTAGCCAGCAAATTCCAGAGATCCACCTGTCTATCTCTCCAACACTAGGATTAGAAAAATGTGCCACAATGCCAGGGTCTTCTCACACAAGTTCTGGGAATTGAACTCAAGTCCTTGTGTCTGCAAGGTGAGCACTTTGCCCATTCAGCTATCTCCCCAGCCACTCTGCTTTAACTTATAATTGGTAAGCAATCATTGTCTGTATCTATGGAGCACAATGTGAATGTTTTGGTGCATGTACACACTATAGGATGAGTCTATTAAACTAATTAGCATAACCATCTCCTATTTATCTGCTTCTTTTTGGAGCAACATTCACTTGGATTCCGAAAGCTTTCTTGCATGAGAGAAAGAGGGTGGAGTCATAGATCTGCCAAAATGGTTTCAAACCTGTTACCTGCTTTATTGTGGCTGCCTTTTGCAACCGGCAAGCTGATTAATGTGCCATTAAGCCTTATCCACAAGCTTGGAAAATGCTCTTCTGAGCACCACGCCTTTCAGAAGTCTGCAGTGGTGTTTGCTTTACCACTGACTCTTGCAATAGTTTTCCTTTTTTTTTTTTTTGAAGGGGAGGAGTTTCATTAAGTCTCATTCAGCATGTTATATTCTAACAGAGAAGAAGGCAGCATCTTGTTACATAATCTGAGGAAGTTATCTGAAAGAGCACCATTAGCTCATGGCTTCATGCCCCTCTGGAATGATGGGGAATGAAGTCTGGGGGACCTGACTCTGATTCAGCTAAGATGGTGGCTGCTCCTGAACACTCATCAAAGAGTAAGCCGCAGTCCAAATGCAGAGTTTTGGAACTCCAGTGTGCCTTGTCCAGTGTGTCTTGATGCAGATGGATATGTTTTCTGCTGTTGAACTAAAGAAATGGGTCTTTGAGCCCAGTCCCCCGTCTTTAAAGTCAGAGCACATTTGTAGATGCAAAGAACACTCAGAGTGTCATATCATACAAGCAACTGTATGACACTAAGTTGACCCCTTCCATAAAGCCTTAGTGAGATAGCTGTATTATGATCATTATATCACATCTGGGGAAACAGGCGCAGAAGGGTCCAGAATCACATGGCTGGGAAGCAGGTTCCAAACAGGGCCTTCTGCCCTGGATCACCTCAGCCACCCCACTGTAGGGTCTCTTGCTCTATCTCAGGTCAAGTCCCTGCTTCACTGATAAAAATGCATCCCCTAACTCAGGAAGGTCTCAGGAGGAAGGGGTTTGGGATGGAGAAAAAATTAACCAGTCTCTTCTTTCTCCTCTTCCTTTAAGACTCCTTGTATGCCCAGTAGGAAGGAGAAGCCACATTAGAGCTCTGAGTTAACAAATGGAAGAATTTCAGTGGCCCCATGGGGCCGAGAACGTCATCAGGGTAGCCAGCAATGGGAGGTGAGGGGTTGCTTCATTTCCAGAACGGAGGGGCTGAGGCTGTCTCTAGAGGCCAGGACTTAGATGCAGCAGGACTGAGCCTCTGATTCTTGGCATTTACTCTGATGCTCTGACTTCTTTTTTTTTTCCTCGCATTTCTGGTTTATTATTTATAGAGCGGAAGGCAGTGGCAGCTCCTTGGCAGGTGGGATGTGCAGGAAAGAGGCCCAAGCAGCATCTCAACACCCTCCCATCTATCCCCAGGGAGTCAAGGAGGAGGAGGCCAGGGAGTGGGTGTGAAATGAGTGCATTGTGGGTGTCAGAAGGGAGGGGTCTCTTCGGAAGGTGTGAGAGAGAGGGAAAGAGGAAGGCACAACAGGGAGTCTAGGAACAATAATAGTTGCCACATATAATTTAATATTACTGAGTCACCATCTAGGGAAAGGCATTTGATGTATGTATGTCATCTAAGAACACATTGGCAGGAGGTACCCTTACACCCATTTCCTAGATCTTGGGAATTGAGATTTACAGATCTGTGTAAAGGTGCTGTCAAAGCTGGGATGTCACACCATGTAGTCAGACTCCACAGTCTCCTGAGGCTGTGGTCTAGGGAGAAAACAGGCAACAATGGCTGTCAACCTTTGTACCTAGAGGATGAGGCATTCCAACTGATTCTCCCAGCATGCCACCTAGTGTGCTGACATGGAGCCTCAGGTGCTACCTGGGTGTCAAAAGGATGGGATCCCCAGCCTCTTGTACACCAAAGCTGAGTGGTATGTTGGTGTGAGTATGTAAAAGGAATACTCAGTTCATCTTATACACTTTCTAGGTGAGACTTTGTGTCCTGTCTCCCTGGCAGAAAATAACAGGGTAAAGACTCAGGTATTAGTTAAGTGCCAATACCACAGGATTCAATATCCTCTCAAGGGGCAGACTGGCCAGCTGGCTCAGTGGGGAAAGATACTTGCTGCCAAGCTTGAGGACCTGAGTTCCAGCTTTGGAACTCACATGATGGAAGGAGAGAACTGATCCCCCCCACACCCCATTGTTCTTTTACCTCTACACATACCCATGCACCATGCCCCCCCACACCCCAAACAAACAAAATAAAATGTAAAACAGAACAAAACAGCTTTAGAGTTCTATTGAGGTAGTGTTACATCTCTTCTGAAAGCTTTCCTACATCCACTCCTACTCCTCTTAATCCTTGGGCATGTCAGACCGCTCAGATCTGATCACAGTGCTCTTCCTCAGTCTCAGTCACACAAATAGGTTGGACAGTGTCAGTAACTTCCTTCTTATTCTTTATGTTCCTGTGGAAACAAAAGTTCTTGGTTCTCATAGGATGCCATGTCGGACCTCTGTGCTTCCAGTGATCTTTCTATACACTAGCCTCTACTCCCATAAACTCCTTTTCTTCTATTCTCAGACCAGGTTCTTTCCTTCCACAGATGTGGGTTCTTTGCCTTAGGCATTCTTCCCTCTGCTCACCTGGTTGCCTCTACCCACCCTTTAGAACCTGGGTTGGATACTTCAGGAAAACTCACCTCGGTTTCCAGATGAAGCCCAGCGACTCTACAGTGGCAGCTTTTTTGGTGTTGTGTGCATTTTTGACACCATTGAAACTTTGCATTTGTTTGTGAGGATCACTGGGTTAATATCAACTTCTTGCTATATTCATCGTATGATGCTCACAGGATAGAGAACCTGTCTGCTTCTGCCCATTGTTCTACCCTCAGTGTACAATAATGCCTGACATGACGAGATGCTTGATGCACTTTTGCTAAATTAATCACAATGGATTCATGGAGTCACATGGTGTTTGGGCTCCTATAAACAGAGATGGGCTTGGGCCAGGGGGCTGTGCTGTTGAGTGTGCTGATGTAACTGCAAAGCGCTGTTCCACAGGGAGCTGTCAGGATGGGAGATGGATGGGGTTGCATATCAAGAGCCTCTCTCATGTTCCCTTGAGCAGACTGGACTCAAACCCCCAGCACTGGAGGATTCAATCTGATTCTGATGAGGGCCAGCCAAGAGCAGTGCAGGGCTAAGGGGGCTAGTCCAGGAGACGGCTGTCTCTGTCTTCCATCAATGTCCTGCCTGGAGCCAGGAAATCGAGGGCAGGTTAGGAATGTGCTGAAAAAGCTTTTGCTTTCATTTGGACCAATATACCATCCTGTGGTTACCAACGTTCAAACATTGAATATATGTGAGCATAGAAGGCTCAAGAATCAACCGGGGCTGTAGCTCAGTTGGCACAGTGCTTACCTAATAAGCAAAAAGCCCTGGGTTCAACCAGCCATAAAATGGATGTGGTGGCCCACACCTGCAATTCCAGCACTAGGAGCATTAAGAATTCAAGGTCACCTTCATTTGTGTAGTAAGTTCATAGCCTTGGAAAGATAAGACTGTCTCTAAAAACAAAAAATTAACCAAACTAACTAGCCAACCAAAAAGAAACCAGTTTTGAGCCAAATTTGGAGAAAGGGACGTGGAACATCTAAACATCTCTCACAAAACTTCAACATAGGAAAATAGTTTCAAGGTTATTTAATCCCACTCCATAGCTTGAATTCCTTCTGATGTCCCCACAGTGTTCTACCAAAGCCTACAGGCTTTCATCAAACCCATGGAGCAAAACTCACTTTGAAAAAACCCACATCTGCCCAACTATCCACACACATCCAACCTCGCCACACCACTCCCACCTTTCAGCTCCAGCCACATACGCACAGGATATACTCTTTGATTTGCCTGAATTAACTCATGACCTACTCAGTGGCTGTTTCATAAACAGACTCATTGTCTCAAGGAACAGCAAGCGACCACAGACCCACAAGCCAGGAAAGAAAACCCTTGAGGTTTTTGCCTGCATTTCCTGGTGCCAGCCAGTGTGTAGAAATGACCGCAAGAAGGACAGACCTGTGCCTTCCTCCCAGTCATTGTTTGCCAAAGTCCCTTTGTATGTGTGCACGAGGGTGGTGTTGGGATCTTGCTGGTCCTTGAGCAACCCCTAGCATGAGTCTTATGACAGAGTGAGGTGAGAACTTATGCTTTTTAACAATGGGTATCATTTCTGCATTCTTGGGGAAGCTCCCCACACTAAGTCAGAAAAGGTATTTTTCTCTTTGGTAGCTCTTTCCTTGAGTGTATCTGTGCCTCTGATTAGCTTGGGGGAATGGGGGCAGTTCTCTCTTACCTTTTAACCTTTCACCATCTAGCCCCATGACAGGAAAAAATCCCTGCATCTAAATTAAACCCAGCACTCTACTTTCCTCCCTAGCTGGTTCTTCTTCTACACATCAGCCCATCTCCCTGGTTTCCATGCCTCCTTCCTGTGCTCCCTTATCTTTCTAAGACTCTATAGATTCAATGGAGGGGAATGGGAAAATGCAGGGAGGGGTCTGCCTTAGTTTTTGTTTTTTGGGTCTGGGAAGATGGACCATATGGGTCCTTTCCTGACCACGGAATAAACCCATATTGGCTCATGTTTCTAGAATCGTCCTCCAATCCTGGAAGAATTTCTGGGTAAAATAATGCACCTGAGGGTGGGTCTGCATGGGAGTGGCAGAGGCCAATCCTAAGGATATAGCTCCCACAAGTCAAAGTGTTTCCCAGAGAAGAAGGTCTAGAAGCTGCAGAGCAGTCTTTGGAGAGGGAGGAAAGGACATCAGGTAGCCCTTCTGTCCCGAGATTTGAAGGACCATAGACTCACCCCACAAAGTAGGAGATAATCAGCAGCTGGACGGCTCGGTTGATGATCCCAATGGTCCAGCTCTTCACTACCACCGACTTGGTAGTCTCGTAGGTGAAGAAGTCTGATATACAGTTCATACTGAGAAAGTGCTCGCAGCCACTCAGAAGGGCTGTGGATGCAGCCCAAGGAAAGAAAGGACCTCAGGACTGGGAGACAAAGATCAAGAACTGGAGGGGGCTGTTTAATGGGGCTTGAGGAAAAGAGCCAATTCCTGTAAGCCAGGCAACTGTAGTCCAGTCCTAGTCTCTCGTCTTTACACTCTGGAAGCCAACCGTCCAAGGCCAGGGCGGCAGACCACCTTTTTATTCGTTTCCACTCCACTCCCCTGTGATGTCACAGCAGGGGTGGGGTCTCCAATCCTGGGCTCCAGATTGCCTGAGATGCAGCTGGCTAGGGCCCTCTGGGACTTATGTTTCATCTGCACTCTGTCTACTGTTTCTATTCTGTTCTCTTATGCTGCATCTCTATCCCAGCTCACCAGCTGCTTCGTATTCTCCAAAGCCCCTTGTAACTGCCCATTCTTGAGTTAGCTTATCTGCCTGAGCCAAGAACTCCAATTTGAGTGTCTGCCGATTTTTATCTAATAGCACAAATAGGGAGAAAGGGTTCTCGACAGTTCTGTGTCTCCTGGGAGGAAGAGTCACGCATTTCTTACCATCTCCTCCTCTCTGCCCTCCAGAATCTCATTATGTTGTCTAGTTGGTCTCAAACTTGTTATGTTGCTGTGTTTCAAATTCACGATCCTCCTGCCTCAGTCTCTGAGTGTTGTGATTACAGGCTTGTAATACTTCAAAGTGGAAAGTCGCTTATTTCTAACTCTAGTTGGTAGCAGTAGTTGAAACTCTTCTAGTTGTACAGAAATTACTGAACTCTCTCTCTTTTAAAACTGAAGCTATTTAAATCTTTTGTTAGGGTATGTGCTCCTAAAAGGTTGGGCTATTTTAACTATCTTCAACAGTTTTGTCAAATCCTAGAAATGTGCTGCACTGACAATAGGTTTTCATTACATAATCTTAAGCCCAGTTTGACTTAGCTAAACAGTGCTTAAAGCCCCAAGTACTGAATGACAGGAATGCATTTTTATCTATATCATATCCCAGAATTGACTTAGCAAGTCAGTGCAGTGATTTTCGGGGAAACTCTTGGGTTTATCCTGTCTTTCTGTAGGACATATGTTAGCAATCACTCAGAGTGATTGCTACCTTGAACCCTCATGCTTACGATAAAAGGCTCATGTTAAGGAGTCTGAGTTCTAGGTTTCAGCTTTGATGCCAATGTACTTGACACCCGGGGCAGATCTTTTGTTGCCTCATTTTTCTCATCTGTAAAATGAGGAAGGGCGAGAGAAACTCAACCATCTCTTTTAGACCTGGCTTCAGATTTTGCAAGATGCACTCTGGTGCTATGTGAGGCCATCCGGTCTTCTGCCAACTCAGGCTGATGTGATTTCAAGTAAGTTCTAGCTCAAAGGTAAATCTGACACCACCACTTGAACTTAATGCAGCCATCTGCTAGGCTCTTCTCGAGAACCCACAAATTAGGGATATGGATAGGATGGTGTTGGGGGTGGAAGGTGAACTCATTTCAGAAAGGATCTCATCTTCTTGCCAGGATACACCCGCACTGCCTTTGCAGCTAGTGGGGGTGTCATTTCTGGCCACGGCTCTGTATTTTTCTTGTTCAACAGACTCCTTCCCAGATTATTTTACAGGAGGGAGGGACATGCATGATTCCAACAAACATACAAACCTGAAAGCCTAATAAAACCGCATAATTTCTCTTCGGAATCTAGTCTTTGAAGAGCAGTCTGTAACTTTCTAAAGAGCGTTCCCGTTTTCTAGTAAAAAATTCAGCCGCGTGAGATTCCACAGCGAGACCTTCGCTCTAGCGTATGGGGGTGGCGGGTGGGAGTGGGAGGTGGTGGCGTACCGACACTCTAGGCGACAGCCTCGTTGGTCGGCCCGGATGATGCCTTTCTAGCCAGGTTATCCTCTCTATGGTTTGTGCGCGACTTCCGGTGGCGGGACGCGGGACCGCGCACGCGGGAAAAGGTTCCCCGGCATCCCCTTCCCCGTATCCCTCCCCCCTCCCCCGCGTCCCCCTGCGCCCACCGCCCTCACTGTGTCGTCGCGAGGCTGCAGCTCGAAGAGGTGGGTGGTCGCGATCCCCGGGCCCCGGGTGTGCATGGGCCCCGCTCCCCCGCGAGACGACCGGGATGGATCGATCCGCGTTCAAATTCGCGGGCAATGGGCGAATCCATTTTAAAAGAAGGGGGAGAAACGTAGATTCATGGGGGCCTCGGGGTGGTGGGATCGCTGCGATCAGGAAGGACACTAGCCTCTGAGAGGAGTTGAGGTGCGCTCTCTGAGCAGGTCTCAGGTTCCGCCGATTGTTGCCGTGCCTGTCGGTGGAACGTACCGAAAGGGTGTCGGGTTGGGGTGTAAGCGCCACTATAGGCCTAGTTCTGCATCTAGGGTCCTGGGCCTTGGCCTCAGGAGCGCTGCAGAGCCGGGTCCGTAAGATCCCCAGGCAGTAGAGAACTTGAGAGACATTCCAGGCACAGCTATTCATGGGTGATCGGTGTAAGGTGGCGTCGTTTCTTACTTATCAGTCTCCTTCCCGAATTCAGATTCCCACCCTGCTGGACAAATTCACACCTAACCAGGAATTGGGGCCCAGCATCCAGAGAAGGGTTCGTGTTCTCTGGTGCAGCCTAGGGCTGTGTGCTCAGGCCACCACGGGCAGGTGAACATGGCAGAGACATTGGAGTTCAACGACATCTTCCAGGAGGTGAAAGGGTCCATGGTGAGAATGGCTTGGGCTTTTAATACAGGCAGAGAGGGGAAAGAGTTTGTGTCTATTAACAAAAAGCTTAACTCTGACTACACTTTTGGAAACAATGTATCAAAGTATCCGCCAAACGAAAACATCAGCAAAGCCTCAAGAGTTACATGATGTCGAGTTTAAAGAGATTGCATGTGTAGTTCTATCCTAAATCCTTGTGTTAAAAACAAACAAACAAACACACAAACAAACAACCAGGAAACTGGGGCCCTTACAGGGTTTCTGATGCCAGAGTCAAGCTTTCAGTCTAGGCTTAATGTCTCTTGTGTCTTTTGACTTGATTCCAACACAACCTGTTGCTTTTTCTATTGAAAATTTGGCCATCCTGCATCACCATATGGATGAGAGGTTGAAAGGACCCACTACACACTGTGTCCTGTTCTGATTTTGGGTCTGTATTTGGGTCTGCAGAATGATGGGAGGCTTCGATTGAGCCGCCAGGGTATCATCTTTAAGAACAGCAAGACCGGCAAAGTGGACAATATCCAGGCTGGGGAGTTGACGGAAGGCATCTGGCGACGGGTAGCATTAGGCCATGGACTTAAGCTGCTCACAAAGAATGGGCATGTCTACAAGTATGATGGCTTCCGTGAATCGGTGAGCAATCTCGTTCTGTGACCCTCTTTGTAACTGCCTTGTCTTGTTTCTTTTTAATCTTTTAGAGACAGTTGGTGTTCCACTGATAATCACATCACTGCTCATTTGGGTTCCTCGAAGCTTGGTGCTTCCCTCATCTTGGTGCTCTAAGATATTGCTTTTTCCATTTTGAGCTGCTTTTAAGTTACTTGGTTTTAATATTCACTTTCATCAAAAGACCGCCTACACAGAGTTTAGAAACTCAGTAAGGTGATACACATATCTGGGGATTTAAGTTTCTTTACTATTCTTAGCCAGAGGCCCAGAAAGAAAAGGTATTTGTTGTTGGTATTGTTAAAAAATTTTTTTCATTCATTAAAAATTATTTATTTTATGTGTATGAGGCTTTGCTAGCATGTATGCCTGTGTACCATGTGCATGCCTGGTGCTCACAAAGCTCAGAGGAGGGTATTGGATCAACTGGAACTAGAGTTACAGACAGTTGTGAACCACTGTGGTGCTGAGAATGACTCCAAGGTCTTCCCACAAGAAAAGTACTCTTATCTGCTGGGTCATCAGGTCTCTAGCACTTAAAAGGTTTTAGGCATAAAGGTTAGGAGAAGGAAAGAGGCTTGGAAGAAGGAGATTCCTGAGAGTAGGGCTGAGGACATCTAGGTTCTATCAACAGTCTCCAGCAACAAAGTAAAATTGTTTTTAAACAGTTTCAGAGTTGGTATACTCAGCTGAGGTTTCTGAGGAGGGTACATTGGTGAACTGAGTTAGAGAATCTCAGGACCTTTGTATTAAGGCACAGAGGTTTAACTGGAACTGCATTTTTTCCATTTGATTTACAGGAGTTTGAGAAACTCTCTGACTTCTTCAAAACTCACTATCGCCTTGAGCTAATGGAGAAGGATCTGTGTGTGAAGGGCTGGAACTGGGGGACAGTGAAGTTTGGTGGTGAGTGAAAAAAATTGATGTTTGGGGAGAAGGTGGGGTAAAGAAGGCCCTCAGACGGTACCTTTCTTTACTCTTTCCTTGGTTCCAATTTCTAATTTCAGTTTGTGTGTTTAGCATGGATTTATCCAGCATGTATCAGGCACTGTGCCTGGTTTTGGTACAGTGTGAACAAAGTTCCTCCAGTCCTCTGTCCTTGAGGACCTCAGGGCTGGTGGGAATGCTTCTGCAGACTCTCAGGGAGGAGTTTGCGATTTGACAAGCTCTTTCCTCACAGGACAGCTGCTTTCTTTTGACATTGGTGATCAACCAGTCTTTGAGATACCTCTAAGTAATGTGTCCCAGTGTACAACAGGCAAGAATGAGGTGACCCTGGAATTCCACCAGAATGATGATGCTGAAGTATCTCTCATGGAGGTGCGCTTCTATGTCCCTCCAACACAGGAAGATGGTGTGGACCCTGTGGAGGTGAGACTTCTTCATGTTGGGCTGGTGGATGTTGCTGAATAGCCTTTGGCTGGCTGGCCTGGGAGTAGAGGCCCACTGTTTGAATACCCGTATGTGTTCACAGGCCTTTGCCCAGAATGTTCTGTCAAAGGCAGATGTGATCCAGGCCACTGGAGATGCCATCTGCATCTTCCGGGAGCTGCAGTGTTTGACTCCTCGAGGTCGTTATGATATCCGGATCTACCCTACCTTT